ACACACACACACACACGGCACATACATGTATGTATATTTTATACATGTATTTTTTTTTCAAATAATATATCGAAAAGTCAACGCTGTCCCCGATCAGCTCCCACTCTTCCTCTATTTTACCCAAACATCCTCGCAGAGACACAAAAATCAGCTTACCACGTCAGTGGTTATACGGACAGCAACCAGTATACCAGGCCCTGATATAAAGTAAAACCCAGGACAGCAAAATCTCCGCAAAAAGCAAAACATCACAAGAATAGTGGGAGAAATGAAGATGTAGGAGAAACTATTGGCATGGAGTACTGCTTGCATTTCAAAGAAAAACAGAGAATGACATGGCCGTTCTTGTTGCTGTTGCTGTTGTTGTTGGGATTGTTTGGGATTAAAAATTTTTTTTTTTGGAAAGGGGGGGGGGGGGGTTGTAAGTGTTTTATGGGGCTCGAAACTGCATAAGGTCATATGAGCGCTCGGGACATTTCCAGTTGGTAGGGTAGGACATTTTGAATTTTGCTCGGGTGGCGGCCGAAGCCTACTTTTATCGATTTTGGACCATCAAGGGATCTTTAACGTGCGCAACTTGCACACGGGACCTCTTCATTTTTCTCCCTTATCCGAGAAGGCTAAGAGTAGATCTTACCTACCATAAGACCAGGGGTTGTGGCAGAAAGACAGCTGTAAGAAAGAGCCAAAGAGCAGGAGTAGAACAGCTGCAGAAAGAGTCAGGCTGGATAAAGACACCAAATTTTAAACCAAACTGTTAAAACATTGTGCAGTAGCATCTCTCTTCTTAGTCTTCTGTTTGCGTAGTTGCATCTTTACTTAAATTTGCTGTTTAAAAAATTTCGAGACCATTATTCCCACGGCAAATTTGAAATATAAAATTGTGTTTTGCCAAAAAGTGGGAATAGATATTAATCAGTGGGATATTTTGTTGATTTTTTTTCGGCAAACGTACAATTATGATGGATTCAAGGTTTGTTATTACATGTATTCACAACTCAGTGATGCTGCCTCGAATAAGAATACTTAGTTTTGTTAGTGATGTTTCTATCGTTCTAAAGCTAGCATTTCGCTAGCCTCATTTCTATTTGGATCTTTCCCTCACTTTGGTTACCCAACCAAACAAGCCAGGCTTCGCCACTGCTATCCATCTATATTATCTATTGATCATCATCATCATCTCTCTCTCTCTCTCTCTCTCTCTCTCA